GAATGGGAAGGAAATCAATTGCCTCCGTCAACTACCTGATTAATTCTAAAACCCAATCCTCACCCTGCTAACTGCCTTCCAGGGCCCTCCTGAGATACCCACAGGTACAGCATGTTCCTATAATGTGGCATTTAAACTGGTTTAGGTTTTACAGCAATGAGGAGTAAAGCAGGTGGTGGAAAACGTTGCCAGCTGGGAATATGGGCGTGGAATTGCCAGATCTTGACCAGGAACTAAAATCCAGATTTCTGTGTGAATCATTTGATGTTTAAGTTCTGACAGCTAATTCAGTTTTTGCATTAGCACCGTTGAGTCTAAAGCAACCCTTCTGCAGCTCAGAGACCACCGAGTTTGCAGCCTTGGTCTTAGGCAGGAGAGTCCAGCATAGCCAGGGAGTCTTGGGGAACAGATGGCTCCAACTTGTAGTAACTCTGGGGCAGGAAGGAAGCTCCTATACTAGCTAAGTCATTGTTGACCATTTGGGTGCAAAAAGGATTTTGATCATGATTTTCGGTGATCTGATACCTCACTATCTGATTTTAGTACACATTAATTCATTTGCTTATTCTTTTCTGGCTGAAACATGGTCTACTCAGCTTAAAAATGGCTCCCATATGGCCCGTCTTGTAGAGCCTTCCAGTGCAGTGGAACTTTGATGGTCTTCACATTGTGAGGTACAATGCCGCCTGTGATAATGCTAACCTTGGATAAGCACAAAATAGGTACATTTGATTGGAGGCAGAGGATTACTTGTATGCATTACTAAAGGTGGTAATGGAAAGATGTCACTGAGGTATTCTGCTTCATCTACAATATCTGTTTGGTGGCTTTGCAGTGTGGGTATCTTCTCTTTCAGAAGAAAGTATTCTTTTTTTCATGTTTTTCATCTTCAACATGATAAACCCTCTTTATTTCATCAAAAAATCATAATATTTCTGCTGATTTGAGAAATGTCCTCTAGGTGGCGCCATTTATAGCTCTCTGAGTCTCCCAGGGCCTGCTTGCCTGCCTTCCTCAAAAGCAAGGCCACTTTGTTCCTTGGCCAGCCTGCTGTGCCAGCAACCTCTGCCCAGAGCAGCTCTTTCCCAGCTCTTGTAGGATCTGCAATGTTTTAGGCTGACTTCTAATTGATCTTTCAGGTGACCATTGTGTGCCTACCCACACTCCTTCAGGTTGCTTTGCATGGTGGCTTGACTAACTGCTCCTTCTTCCAAACTCCTCTAGCAATTCATTCTCTATACTGTAGCTTAGCAGCCAGTGCTTTTCATTTCACATTGTTGTTTTATGCATGCAGACTGCCTGCCCAAATAGATTATTAAACCTTTAAGGGCTTTGTATGCCTCAGCCATCTGGCACAGTGCACTGCCTGGGACAGGCAGTCTGCGAGTGTGTTTGTGGTTGATGTAGGTTTTGTATTCTTGTGTTTATTCATCACTTACTATCCATTCTAGGCTAGGCACTCTTTTGGGTGCACTGAAAACAGTTATGAAAGACAAGGTCCCTGCTCTCAAGCAGCTCCTAATCTCAGGAAAGAGAGAGAGAGAGAGAGAGAGAGAGAGAGAGAAATAGACAATTACAGTGGTATTATAGTGGTGCAGTGCATGGTGTGAAGCAGCCATGCTAAGTGACTCTGGGAACAAGAGAAGTGGAGGCTTTTCCTTCCCCCCAAGCATCTTTTACAAGAGTGTGGCTGTGACCTTTACTCTCTTTGACCCTAGGATCACTCCTGGAGACTGAACTATGCCTTTGACTGTTTTTCTTTGCCAGTACCCAAAGGACAGGATGACATGACAGTGGAGGTAGGATGTCACAGAAGAGGTGATAGTCTTTCCATTTTCCTCTGGTGTTCACTGCTCCTAAGGTTTTGTGGTTTGCTTTTCAGTTATCTAGTAATTGCCCTTGAATTCTCGAAATGGTTTATCATCTCACTGTCTGTTTGGGGGTGATTTGAAATTGCTGATTTCCTCTTAAGTGGTGTAGATACATATTTATCGAAAACCTATTCATTCCAAATGTCCCCTTTCCTGTGAAGTCTTCAGTTCTCCTGAACAGAATGAATGATTCCTTCCTTTTTATACCTTTATATTTTACTTGTATCCCAACTTTAATACAAATTGATTTCATTTTCTTTTATTATAGCTGTTCAGAGCCCTAAGACGTTAAGCCTATTGAGGGCAAGGACTGACCATATTTTATTCATCTTAGTATCTCTCTTCTTGCATTTTCACCTTAGTTGTTTACATATGGTAGCAATGAATAAGTTTGTTGATTTAATGAACTGGGACTTTGTAACATGATCCATGTTTAGTTGAATATTTAGCATATTTGCTTCTAGAACATGGTCAACAACTTCAGTAGTTTCTACATGGATTTTGTTCGTTTGACTTAGGTTGTGTGAATGTTTTCTTGGCAAATGCTTTCCAGATACATATGCAAAGGTTTCTGAGTAGATCTGGGCTCAGACTTGAAAGTTTCCTGTTTCCGTATTGACACTCATATATGACTTTATCGCTGTAGAGTGTTGGTTTTCCTTACATCCTGATTTCTTCCCAATACTTGAAGGAACATCCTCCTACTGATTTGTCTAATCCATTCAAATATCTACCAAGTGCCAAGGAGTGTCCCTGATGCTAGGCATATAGGGGTGACAAAACAGACTTTTCTTGTTCTACAATATGTTGAAAGAATTTAATTCCTTTCGTCAAAAAGTAGGTCAGGGACTTCCCTGGTGGTCCAGTGGCTAAGACTCCACGCTCCTAATGCAGGGGGCCTGGTTTGATCCCTGGTCAGGGAACTAGATCCCACATGCCGCAACTAAGAGTTCACATGCTGCAACTAAAGATGCTGTGTGCCGCAACTAAGACCCGGTACAGCCAAATATATAAATAAAAATAAAAATAAAAATAAATAAATATATTAGGTCAATTCAGTCAAAATGGAGTACCTGATAGCTTAATAGCATAGTTTGGGAGACATTTTCAAAAATCTCAGAGGATCCTTGGCAAGGAAACCAGACACTTATTTGAAGCTTTCTGTTATTTTTCTGATGTTTTGTATCTCTCTGCAATTCATGTATAGACATATTTGAGAGGATGCAAACTTATAATTAAGTTTTTCCCTTGAAGCCATTTAAAATTTTGGCATATTGAATTTCAGTCTTTAACTTCATTAGTCACTTAATTTTAAATTTTGATTTCACAGCGTTCACATAAAGGGGGTGAAGTTTGTCCTTTCTGCTTTCCTGGCCAAGGTGAAATTTAATTACAGTCGGCCCTCGTTATCCACAGGTTCTGCATCCTTGGATTCAACTAAGGGATAACTGCATTTTCTAGGCCAAATATCCTTTTAAAAGGGGAGCCTAAAATATAGATCTTATGTCTGGATGACTTGTTTGATCTAAGTCGTGGTGTGTGTGTGTGTGTGTGTGTATGTGTGTGTGTCAAGGGGTGGAAGTAATGGCAAATGAAAGAGGGCAGTCGCACACCCATCATCCAGGAATCCTATGTGCACTCTTGACCTATAGCAATAGTAGAGTCATGCCCTCACTTTACATTCTGGATCAGGAGGTTGCACTAGAGACATCTCAGAGAAAACATAAAATGTGAAAAAGGGATTCCCTTCTTAAGATACAATTTACTCTGAAGACCTGAGCCTCCATTAAGGCAGAAAGCAGTATGAGTTTCACCTCTTGTAGCTATTAGATCAAATAAAACTTGAACGAGCAAGGAGTTTTTCTGGCCATTTATCAGACACATGTTACAACAAAATAAGCAAACAACATTTAAAGTAAACTGCCTCAATCGAAAGTGGAAAAACAAAATACTAGAATGGCATTTTGCTGGAGAGATCCTGGTTTTCCCATTTTCCTCTTTTATTCTTTCCATTTCTTTTATTTCACATTACTTTGCATTTTCCCAGAAGTCATAATTCCATCTCGGTCTAGAATGGTGAAGTCGATTACTTGTCTGTTAAACATCGTGTGCCTTTCTCAAAAACAAGAGGAGAGCTTGTACAAAAACAAAACAAAAACAACTTCAATGGCAAGAAAAGTTGGAAGCTATCAGGAGACTCTTGGAAACTGGGCCGCTTCATTTTTCTGCTCAGGATTTAGATTTCTATCTCCAGTTACTTTGTGGACAGTTTCTCCTGTTAAATCTCCCCCGTCCTCCCTCCGCGAGACAGTGACAGTTCCTTCTCTTCTCCAGTCACACTCCACGATTGAGTGGATCTTATTTGCTACGACAGAACTGGGGTCAGAGGTGACGCGAGATACTTTCTAACCAAATGGCGTTTTAGAAATAGGAACGGGAAAGAACACCGAACTGGGCAAGAGCCGCCCGGCGGAGTTGATCCGCGCTGCCCCGGAGCCGGGGGCGTGAGCGCCGAGGCCGTCTTCGGGGGAGCCGGACAGGGTGTTCACGGCGCCGGCCAGTGCTGGGGGCTTACTGGGCCGAAATCCCCGCCTTTTCGGAGGAGCCGCGGCCGCGTTCCGGGGCCAGTGGGCAGCTGGCGGGCGGAGGCCGCCATATTCCCGCTTTACCACGCCCGGGCGGCCAACCGGCAGCTGCAGGTTGGCGGCGGCCCCGGCTGCGCCTCAGCGACCCGGCCCCGCCCCCCGCCGGGGGTGGCCGTGACCGCTGAGCCGGTGGGCCAGACCTGGGGCGCGGGAGCGGGAGCTGCGCTAGCGAGGGGAGAGCCGCACTTGGAGGCGCGCGGCGGCGGCTGCGAGCCCAGGAAAACCTTTCAGGAGGGGCCGGCGGCTCCGCCTCCCGCTCCCCTCCTCCCACGCCCATCCCCTCCCTCCTCCTCCTCCTCCTTCTGCCGCCGCCGCCGCTGCCTCCCTCCCGGATCTGTGCTCCAGTTCAGAGAAAGAAGAAAATGTGTGTGTGTGGCGAGGGGGAGGGCGAGCACTGAGCAGCCGCTCCGCGGCAGGCAATCCGGGCCGGGGGTGGGCGTCTGGCGGAGGCGGAGGCGAAGGAGCGCGCGGCGGCCGGGCGGGCGGGCCGGCGAGTCGGGTTTGCGCGCGAGCCGGGCGGTGGGCGCGGGCAGGGCCGAGGGCGCCCGGGAGCCGTTGTCAGGCGGCGGCGAGGAGCGAGCGCGCCGGGCGCAGGGAGCCGTCGGCGGTCGCTCGCTGCGGGGACGCCCCGGTGGATGTGCTCTCGCCGCCGGGCGCACGGCTTAGGGGAGCCGCGGCGGCGGCGGCGGCGGCGCGGGGGGCGAGGCGGGCTGCCCGTTCCCGGGGAAGGAGGCGCGGGCGTCTGAGCGAGGCCGGGCGCGGCGGCCTTCCCCAGTGCGCCCCCCGAGCCAGCGCCCGCGGCCGCCTCCCGCGTCCGCCTCGCTCCTCCCGGCGGCTCGAGCCGCCAGCTCCCGCCGCACCCCCGGCCCACCTAGTGGCCCCTGCCCTGGCCGCGGCCCCCGCGGCGGTTCCCCGAGCTCATCCCGGACGCGCGCCCGGGCGGCGGGGGCTCGGCGGCCACCGCTGCCTCGGGGGAGCGAGGGCGGGAGGGTGTGTGTGCGCGCGTGTGAGCAGGGGGTGCCGGCGGGGCTGCAGCGGAGGCACTTTGGAAGAATGACTCTGGAGTCCATCATGGCTTGCTGCTTGAGCGAGGAGGCTAAGGAAGCCCGGCGGATCAACGACGAGATTGAGCGGCAGCTCCGCAGGGACAAGCGGGACGCCCGCCGGGAGCTCAAGCTGCTGCTGCTCGGTGAGTACAGCCGGAGCCGGCCGCCGCGGGCCCTCCCGCCGGACCTGCGCCCCCTACCCACCACCCTCAGCCCCCCGGGACCGTGGCCCCGGCCCCCGGCCGCCCGCGGCTCGCCCCTGCCCTCCCCGGGCGCGTCCCCGGCCCCTACCCGCACCCTCTTGGGCGCGCGCGCGCGCGTACACAGAGACGCGCGCGCGCGCAGAGGGGTCGGGGTTGCTCTGCTCAGGGCCTCGGCTTGTGCCTTTCGGTATCCCTAAGGGCTGTGCACTCGGGGGTGCGCATTTGTCTGCGGTGCTTCTGCAATTTGCTCAATGACACATTGCTTCGGGGAGAGGCGTGGGGGTGGGAAGGTGGGCAGGGGGGTTGAACTTCCAGTGTCGTGGCCGCGGCACCCCGTGGGGTGGTGGAGTGGGAAGCTGTGCGTATGTGTGGCCCGAGGGTGGCGAGCGGAGCCACGTTGGGGGATGGCGTCCGGTGGGGTGGCCTGTGTGCATCCATTATCAGTGCTTTCCGGGGTCGGGAGCGAATGGTAGAACGGTGGGCTGACTCGCGACTGGGTTCTCCGAGGAGCGATGAGGAGGGAGCCGAGTGGTTGGCTCTCCGAAGAAAGCGGGCTTGTGTATTCGCGGGGCGGGGAGGCAAGCCCAAATGTGTCACACGAGTGCTGTTCTCTAACCACCAGACCACCAAAAGGAGGGACCCAGAAGAGTTTCTTAATGGTGACAGGCGTGTTTCTCCACCATTCCTTCCAGATAAAGATGAGGGATATGGGAGGGTTGTGCTGTATGGTTGTTGACAGCGATGGGTATCTTTTGTTTAATGAGGCAACCCAGATGTAGGCCTGAATTCACAATAGTTACCAGTACAGCCTCAATTACTCTCATGGAAGCAAATAGAAACCTTTTGTTTAAAGCGGACAGCATTTTAATATCTTTGGAATCTGGGCTAGAAGGAAAACGGGAAGTGAACAGCAAAAATTTCCCTTTAATCTCTACAAAATAACCCAACATTCTGTCTTAACATTAAGTTAGCAAGAAAATGCCATTTCTGAACTAGGAATTTTATTGATTATTATCTCTGAGAGAATGTTCAGAATCAACGTTCAGGCCAGCGCGACATAACTCTGAGCTATTGTGGTAGGAAGAACAAACGGCTTTGCAGTAACAGGCCTGAAAAATGTCTGCACTCGTGTTCTGGATATTTGCGTGTATGATGAATAGACTTCTCAGACATTTCTGGAAGAAAATATTGTCAATTCTGATTTGAGAAGCATGCATTTTCTTTCTTATCTTGAACTTTCCATCTCCTGGTTCGAGGAACCAATTGTCTTTGGGACTGAACTGCTTATGTACTGGGTCATTTACAAGAAGGAACAAAATACAGTGATTACAAATAGTTACAAATGGTTAACTCACATGCCCTGCTTAATGTCTTCATTTTGAAACCAGATTAGGTAAATGTGCACATGTTTATAAAGAACAGAAGGCAAACCCTGGATAAGAGGGGTGGACTTCAGGGAATGAAGCCAGGGAAGGGGAAAACTGCAATTGGAAAAGGAAGATCTTTTTATTTTTTATTCTCATTTTGAGCTACTTCTAATGGCTGAAAAGGTGTAGTTGAATGCTTTCGGAATTCTCAAGATTGAGAAGAAAATAGAGGGGGCAAGAGAAATGTATGGAGTTTAATGCATGATTAAGGGGAAAAGCGTGTGTTTTAGAGAGACTTAAGGATGTTTTTTTGTTTTCTTTTGCCCTGTGTACAGTCTTTATTTGTTTCTGTTTAGCTGTGAATAGGGCATTTGAGGTCTCTCAGGCCAACCCCATTGCCTGAAATGTGGCAGCTCTGGGTTCCTAGCAGCTGTGAGTTAGAGCTCAGGGGATTTGTCTGTCTGAGGGCCTAGGTTTGAATGTCTAGGAGGAGGACTTTGGGAGAAATGCCCGTAGATGGACACTTAATTACAGACTGGACTTAAGTAACATATTGTGCTTTTTTAAACAAACAAACATATTTTGCTTTAAAACATGAACTGGGAGATAATTTTATGAGGAAAAATATTAAAACAGTTTACTGCTAAAATGGTGGTGTGGAGAACTTTTTTTCTCCCCTTCTTATTAGATTTTCGAGTAGGATTAAATACAGCCCCACCCCAGCCCCCAAGTATGGCCTATTAGAAGTGGTAGAAAAATATGACATCAGTTTAACATCTACATTTATTAGCATTTTAAAACTATACAACTTTTTGTTAGAAACTCAATCCCTAGACATCATGTAAGATTTGCTACAGCTTCATGTTCTAGGTATGTTGCTTTTGTAACATAACTACTGCAGTACCTACACGATTTATATAGTCAGTGCCATATACTAAGTGTAGATTTGTGTGTGTGCTTGTAATTTTTGAGTCCCGGAGAGAAGTGATGGTTGATTTGAACCAGGGAAGGTATTGGGGAGGGTTTCCTTCTGAGCAATGCCTGATGATGTGCTGCTTTGATGCTGCTTTGCACTCAGTGTTCATTCATGTAAATGATGCCCATCAAAAGGTTTACCAGTATTTTTAACTACTTTATTTAAATTGAGGAATCACCCTTATATTTAAATGCATTTCAGTGTAAAATTATTTTCAAAGTAAATTGTAGTTCAACGTGTGACACCATTTTAATGGATTTATTTGGCAGGGGCCCCTTGCAAAATATAAAATTAATTAGTTAATTTTATACTACGGAGAAATTAGAAAGAGAAAATAGTGGTTACCTGCCTAGATGAAAGTATGGCAGTAAAATTTGGCCTGCCTTGATACCTATCCAGCAATTATGCCGATATGTTCCAAATTCTACAGTACTTATACATTTTGATATTTATTGTTTTTAAAAAATGAACCCAGAAACCTACTACCATAAAATAGCATATTAAACTCTGAATTCTTGTTTTCTTTATTCATTTTCTAAATTCATTTATATAGTGTTTATTTTCTTAGACACCTCAAAGAAAACTGTTTGTTTTCTACATAGATATGCAAAGAGAATATTTTAAGTTTTTATATACTTCCTAGATGTAATGCACATTGTTTCCTTTAATTAATACTTACAAATATTAACTAATTATTTGGTGGTACATAGGTCACACTATTTAATATAATGTGTCTTTAAGTCTGTATAAAACAAGTGGCCTTGAATGCCTGCTTCCGGTCAAGGATATTCATGTTGAAATTTTCAGTTCCTTGAAGACACATTTTTTCCCCCCATTAACCTGTTCTTACTTTACATGTTTTAGAAATCTTTACTCTTCAGATCTTAGTCATCTGATAGAAAAATTTAGCAAACCTTTTTTTATTGATTGGATTCCACCTATTGAAGAGGCAAAGTTTAAGCCCGTTTTAGATGAAAGAATATATGTTCTTCCTCTTCTAACTGAATTACATATGTGATTGGAGATTTTCTTTCTATTCTAGACTGGAAGCTTAGGAGAGTAGGGACTGAGGACTGATTCTATTATTGTTCACTATTAAATCCCAGCTTCTGGCACAATCTCTAATTCATAGAATGGTCTCAATAAGTATTTGTTGAGTAACTAAACTTATTTGTAACCCTCCTAATAGAAATTGGGACCATACAGCAATGAAGACATTATAGAGACATGGGGAAATGTAATGTTTTTATTCTGTGGCAGAGAAAATCATGATCTTTTAAAAAAATTATATGTAACTCTTTGAGCCAATTAAATACAAATGCATTCCAGGATAGGAAGTGTTAATGTAAGATGTTACATCACATATTGAACCGTGTATTACAGTTCTGTGCTGGGTGCATTTGGGAATGATAACAGTCACACTTAAAATATGAAAGTTTACAGGGAAAAAAAAAAGAAACCATACCATGTCTTGATTATTTTTTTTGTATAGAAGCTAGTTTAACCCTCTCATCTTTTTTGCCATATACTTTTCCCCATGATACACTCAACAGAGTGAATTTTTAAATTCTCTAGAGTACAGGTGGTGAGCGAACAGATTTTTACAATTTACCTATATATAGTTACAGGAGGAGAACCGCAACGATTAAATTTTAAGAATTGCAGAAAGAACGTTTTTAATTTGAGCGATGTACATTTGTACTGAAAACTGAACAGTTACAGAGCAGAAGACACCTGGAAGGCTGGAAGTGCTCTGACAGTGTTAGACTGTGTGGAGAGCTCATGCATGCAGGTCTCGGTAAAAGCACCCACCCCATTACCCCTCTGTAGAGTTGCTAGGGGAAGGATGAGGATGTTGATGCCCGAATTAACCTAGACGTTAGTGGCTCTCTAGGATGGCTCCTCAGAGCCGCAGAAGGAAAGCTTCCTTCTGAGCAGCCCTAATAACAGAAGCTCCCTGGAAATACCATAATACAGTGTTTATGAGGCTGCTTTAAGACCAGCTGGTTTTCTTTCTGCTACTTTTTTAGCTTTGCAAGTGTTGAATATGTTTCTAAATGTCAGGATTTGTTTGGATGTGTTTCCTTTTTTTCTTCATTTTATTTTTTTGGAAACAAAGTACTTATAGTTTGTATCTGAAGAGTGAAGTGGCAGCATCCCTCATAAAAACCAAAACTGTAGCTCTGACTATATAACAAGGCGTTCAGAGTAAGATTTTTGCATTGAACCACGTAGATTCATTGTCTAGATCTGCCATATAACTGTCAATCTCGTACTTGTACTTACGTATTGTTTCTTCTTATGGGAATTTTGGGCGCAAATTAAAACCCTACTGAACAGTGAAGTGATCCCGTATGTATCTGTTCACATATTTTTAGGTAGGCTTAGGAAGGAGAACCAGAAGAATAATTTAGTGGCCATTTTGTTTATTACAGATAAATTTTATAGCCTCTTTTTCATTAAAAAAAATCAAACAACCTAGCTGTACCTTATAAGAGATGGCTTATGTTCAATTTTCAGAGATGCCTATTAAATATAGTTATGATTTTTATTACAGATGAATTTTTAAGGACCTGAAACAGCTTCTGCAGTTGTGA